GTTAACTTGATAAAGCAGGCCTGTCGCTTGCTATTCGACCGCGTGCATATACCTACCAATTATGCCGGGCCCTTTTGTTGGGTGGGTAAAAAGTCATCAAATTAATGACTCTTGAGGAACTGACTCTTACTAACTAAAAACCACCCTATTCTTTCCAACACTTGCTCAAATTCATGGCCTCAGTGATACCCATATGACAACCTACCCTCAATCAAGGCAACAATCCTGTTGGGCTCCGTCTATAGTGGTCTGATAGCTCTTTGAGGGCCCCATTTTACGCAACGCGCCGTACGCTCGGGTCTAGTCCTTGTCAGGTGGTGAGCTATCCTTGCTTGCCGTCCGCAGACTCGTGCTTACGGTGGCCGGAGATCCCTACAACGCAACGCGATATTACACCCAAAGCGTCTCCTGCTACCTCTCGAAAATCATAAAAGATACTCGATAGATTTCGAGTGACTCTAAAAAGTGATCGAGGACGTTCGATAGTTTTCGCGGACGCTCAATAGACTTCGAATTTAGGGCGACAGGGCGGCAAAAAGTAAGCTTAGAGTAATTCTTGCGTCGGATTCGGAATGCCATGCCATTTACCGGTATTGGGCGGCGAGTATTTGACCACCAGGCGAAATAGTGGTCAAACGTCGGTTCATCAAATATAAAAAAGTGTAATAAGATTCTCCGAATTTTACAAGTCCTATCATTTATAGAAAACTACTAAATCTTTAGTCGGTTTCGACTTGTATAGAATTTGGGGCGCCACTGAACGGGAACAGGCGGTGAACAATTTTCGAATGATTCGAAGTTTGATATTGCTGCATCTTAGTCTTATTCTTAACTGATGACGATAGATAGTAATAATAACACGAATATTACTTGCGTCGTGTGGGATTTTTTCCCGGCGATGATGATTTGAATGTCCTCTTACGGCTGGCCTGCATGTAAGTACCTATGTAGGAAATGTTTCAATAAGTAATTCTTAAATATGGTTCTCATTAAATGTTGATTTATATTTATTAGATACTTCGGTAGATCGGGAAACGGAGCTGCGGACAACCTAACGGGTTACCGCCGAGGCTCCACTCAAAGTAGGAGTAGGAACGGAGTGGTTTCTAGTCAGTGAGAGTCTGACACGCTCTTGTCTCACCCAAGACATTGTATGGACATGTATTAGTTATCTATAGAATAGGTACATTATACCTACCACAGGTATGGAATTAGACAAGGGCTCAGTAGGTACCTAAAACGCTTCATCATTGGAATCTGTGTTGTGGCATGCCATGACACAGATTCATCTCAGCACCACTTTCCGCTTCCGTGATCATAAAACATGACTAAAAAAAATTAAGCAATTATTTTAACAAAAAATAACAATTATTAATATCTGTTAAAAATACGTGTTCTTCGTAGGTATATTTACCTAATTTGAATTTTCAAAACAGGTTTCATATTACAATTTTATTGACCTTGCACGTTATACAAGTACTTACCTATAATATCGTTATGCAATGTAGGTACTGTGGTACTAAAATGTAAATGAAGTCGGGTTAAAGGCCGTCATCACACGGTTATTATTGCGAAAAAGGACGAGTCTGTCGAGGCATCCTTAGTTAGTTTTAAAAAGATGAATTAAACACATTTTCCTATCTAAAAAAAGAATATCTTAGAATACATTGGAGTGATGCCTATTTTGTTTTGTCATGAATTTATACTTCTTTAGCCATTCTCTACCACCATGAACGCCATGGTGTAGCCTCCTTCAATCTTTAACATCCTCCATTCGTGTCTGTAGGTATTCTTTCTTTAACAAAAACATTGCCTCGCGCACCTGCACCGCCTACACTAGAACTTTCTTCAGTGTCTTGAGTGCGTTTATAATAAACATAACATACCTACACCTGAAACTGTCGCGGAGAACCTAACGGGTCACCGGGGCTCCGGTTCGACGTGCAGGAGAAGGAACGGAGTGGTTTTTAATCAGTAAGAGTCTGACACTCCCTCCCGCCTTACCCAGGCGGGAGCAGTAATTCGATGATGATGAAGGGGGAAACCCTTTAAAAAAAAAACACCTGAAACTACAACTTGTGGATCACTCGAAGAGTTGTTCCGTGCGGCAACCGAACATGTTACAAGTTGCATAGCAGGCTCGCGACCGGTTACCCAGCCACTGCGGCATGACGGCAACCGTGAAGTCAAAACCATTCAGCTCTTTGCAGTCCAGTGCAACCCTCTTCAAGTCATCTTTTCAGCACATCTATGGTCTTCTTCGCAGGCGTTTAGGTAAGTATTGCTCCACGGCTGCCACTCCAGACGTTTATTTTTATGGCATAAACCGGTAAACGAGCAGACGGATCACTTCATGGTAAGCAAAAACACCAGAGGCGTTAAAGGGCGTTACCAGCCATTTGGGGATTAGGAGTTTGAGTTTCTTAATGGTATTGATTTTAAACTGTTGGAATTTAATGGAATTTCGACACAAATCCTTAAGTCAAATTGCTAAGAGCCGCAAGCTTGATTAATCCTACGTTATTATTAGGAACTAGCCGTACCCGCGACTTCTTTCGCGTGGTTGTCGAAAACAAAACAACATCGTTTAGATAACAGTAGGCTATAGACATATAAACTCCACTCAAGAACGTGGTATTGTATTTCTGTTTTTGCCAATAGAGATCCTGACTGTAGTATATTTTTATTTGGTAATATTGGTATAGTTTATTACGTTAATGCTTCCCTATATACAAAAAAATCAAAAGGCACCTAGGTTTTCGAAAGAAAGTAATGTAGACGCACCCCATGCAATGTTACCGTCTATTGATAATGGCGTGTGGTTTTATTAAATGCATAAACTACTGTTATATCAACGGGTAACTTGTTTGCCTGGTTCCGCTGTGTTAACAGGAAAGGGATAACGTTTATATTGTACATTTTTATATTAAGTAGGTACCTACGTACCTACGATCCTTTATATATTTCATTGTGTGCAAATAAATAGCACGTCTCTTTCGATAATATCATAGGATATAAATTATTTCTCTAGAATCTGTTTTCTGAGAACTTTAGACGTTTACTATTAATGGATTCAATAGTTAGTGTAAGAAGATTGCTCCTTATTTCAGGCAGGTGAATGAAACCGAACGGACTACCACCTGACCTGTTCCCAAGGCCACAATCCCTCCTACATAATTCAGTGTTTACGATAGATACTATCGACATTCTGTACCTACTGTTAACTACTTCGTAACATTGTCGCATAAATAATATATTAGCTGAAAATAATAATATAGCAATATACATAAGTAAAAAAGCTATTATACTTTGAGGGCTATTGAAATTTTTTATGCAGTTGTTTTAATAATGCCTTTATTTTTTTAACCCACATCATAATTCTTAATGTTCTTAATTTGAATTTGAAAGTCTTGTAACAGAAATAAGCACGAAGTATAAGGGCTCGTACACAAAACTGCGATGCGATGCGAATTCGCAACGCAAAAATTTACGATGCGAATTGCTGCGATGCGATTTCGATTTTTAGGGAGACGCCTTGTCGCACGAAATCGCATCGCATCGCAGTTTTGTGTACGAGCCCGAAGTCAACAAATTCACCCATATACTATTGTTAGCTGAATGGGATATGCATACGTTCAATTTTTGGTCGTAACAATCAAAAATTGAACGTATGCATATCCGTAACGTAACGATCCACTCCATTTATACAATTATTTCTTGTACAATGTTTACGATACCACGATCGAAAGTATCGATTGATTAGAAGAACGTTCATTGAACATAATAATTTTACGATTTTTATATTAACAGTTTATAAACGTGTACTTTGACGTCATCGAACCAGACGATATCTTGAAGAATCATCAACTCTTTTTCGTAAAAATAATTTCTTAGCTTCGCATCTAATCTGACTTGGATCAGGTGCTTTAGTTGCATTGCCTAAGATAAAGAAGTAGCCTATTTGTCACAGAGTCACAGCAGATTTCAATAACAGATTAAACTGAGTAACGAATATCTATAAAACCTTTCATCTCTATAATATTAGAAGTATAGCTAGTTTTGAACACTAAATGACAAGGTGAACTTCGTAAATCCGCTTCGTACATGACATTTTAGCTTCAAAAACAATGCTGTTAATATTCAACTCGCGATCAGAAACAAGGCCATAGCACATTCACTAATAAATTGAATAAAATCTTAGATGAAGTGATGAGCATGTTCGTGATTGGATCTAATTGTTAAACAACGTCATATGGTATAGTTGGTACCAATGTGACTTAATATTGTGTTATCTTTAGTAGTCAGTATTTCGGCAACCAGATACGTTTAATTAAAATCTCCATCATCTTCGTCATTATCAGTCAGTAGATGTCTAGTGTCTACTGATAGATAAAGGGTTATCCCTTTCTCCAATTGTTTGTTAAATATTAACAAATACACTGTCTGACTGGTCAACTTTCATTCAAAGATAACACATTATACTTCATAGTCTTGAAGTATCCATCTTTTTGACATGTATTACGATAGGTATACCTACTTTTGCATGGGATATGTTAAGTACGAATCGGATCATAAGTATCTGATCTGTTTATTTTATGTTATTTAATTTAGATGACTTTGCCGTATCAAAGTGATTGCGAAATCTCAAACAGCTCTTAACTTTAAAATGTTATTGATAGTATCTTGCGCTGCACGTTGCACCTTGAAAATATGATATTGCGTAGTTTGGCATGCATGCTCTTTTAGGTAGATGTACTTTTAGATTTTAGAAAGCTTTGTTAATACCTGCTTTGATTTGCATATCACAGAATGCATACATTATATCTATACATACACATTTATTTTTATACTTATACCTACAAGCTATAACTAACTCACGAAACTTCACAGATTTATTATTTTCGCCATATTTGACTTGCTTGCTACAAACTTAAAGTTTGATAGAAATTGTAATATTTGAATGGCTTTTTCAGATATGTTCGTTAGCAAAGCAACTCGACATGACAGAGAGGCAGGTGGAACGATGGTGGAGATTAAGAAGAAGCCAGGATAAACCTTCGACCCTGGTGAAGTTCTGCGAGAACATGTGGAGGTTTACATTTTACTTGTACAACTTCTCCTACGGTCTCTTTATATTATGGGAGAAGGAGTGGCTTTGGGATATCGATCAGTGTTATATAGGATATCCACATCAGGTTAGTAAGGATTTATTTTATCTGATGAACTTTTTGTTGATTGCATAAATATTAAGAAAGAAAAAAAGAATTTACAAAATTTTAAGTATCTTCTTGAAGTATAGGGCCTCTCCAATAGCACAGTACACTATTGAGCTAGATTATTAACTCTTCGTATTCAATCTCTGCCAGTTACTTCGCCTGGTTTGCCTAGGCGAACAGTTTTGATAATCTCCTGTGGGTAATAGAAGCTAGGAATAATACCATCAAGCTCAAAATTAGACTCCAATTAGGGCCATTCAAACCAGCAATTTCTCATACTTTACGTCTTAAACATGCAACCAATTCTTTTAACAACTATCCTCCTTCAAATAGCCCACCTTATAGTACAGATTGTCAATAATTATCGCTTCAACGCAACGTAACTCGGAGGCTCGGAGCTTGAATAGCGCAGCACGAGTAGTACTAATGGATGACGAATATTAATTATGTAATATTTAACGAGTGTATGCTAGATACTTGAAAGAGGTGTGCCTGCCTAGTATTTCGACATTCTTAGTGTAACACACGTAAATTAAAGAATCACGATTGTTTCTCAAATGGTTGAACTGGGCTATAGTTTTCATCACCTGCTGCACTTTCCGCGGGGGACGTAAGAGCTAACTGATAGGCTGCACGTTTGACAGAAACAGGGAAACAATAGTCTCTGATAAATCTAACCCTTTCAAATTGTGATCTTCAAACCGCCAGATTCCGCGATAATCCTAATTTCTTCCGAGGAGACCCGTAGCCCCGAAGAATTTTTGCATATCTTTCGTTGAAATAGGTTTTTTGCATTTAAATAATCCAAAAATATTTCTCCATTATCTCCTTCATACGGAATGTCGTCCCACGATGCCTATGCCTACATAAACAATCGATATGTAGATTAACGGTTTAGTTAGGTTAGTAACTAAGTTTTCCTGTAATAGACAATGCTCATCAGAGCATGGTTATCAACAGGTGCAAGTTATCGTTCAGATAGATACAATCTGCTTAGGTATTACACGCGAAAAATTATTTATCACATATAATAAATATTTACAAACAATGTGCGATTTATTTACCTAATATAATTATGTAATTGTTTTTGAGTAGGTACCTACTACTAGGCTTTTAATAGTAAGAACTTTACGCAAGATTATTCTATCGTTTAAAAACTTTTCTTTAAGACTGAATTCAAACGCGGTTATACTTTTGCATACAAGTCCCTCAGGATCGTATTAAATGTCGTACAAATATTTGTTTTATGGGCGAATCGGACACGCGATACGTTGCGCAGCAACCGATTATACTGACAACCGAACAAAGTATTGTCCTGACCTGAAATAAAACCAGAATACATTGTTACCACAAATAAGCATAGGCATAGCTCTTCCTTAATTTGAGTGCTTTTAGACTAAAAGTTTTAGTCCTTTTTATTACGGCATCAATTTTGTCGTTGAACGTAAACTATTACTGTTATCTTGAACGCCATCATGGAATAATGAATACCCCTGAGAGTAATGCGACAGCGGAAACCTTTTCGCGCCATTGTGTGCCTGTCTATGATTGACCAATAGATCTTCTCGGCCTAACGGGTCATTTAGGAAACAAAAAGAGTTTAGAATTTTAGACGATGATGCAAATCATGGGACATGTACATTATTTTGAAAGATCAAAAAAGAATGAAATTTTATAGGTACTTCTTTACTACGTACCTTTTCTTTGCTAGGTTTCGGTTATTTCATAAAACTTACTCTCTTACTAACATTTACTTTCCTATCAATTCCAGGGTCTCACCAACGACATCTGGTGGTACTATATGATATCAGCAGCGTTTTATTGGGCGCTGACATTCTCTCAGTTCTGGGACGTGCGTCGCAAGGACTTCTGGCAAATGTTCGTGCACCACATCGCCACCATCCTACTGCTGTCCTTTAGCTGGGTCTGCAACCTGCACAGGATTGGGACACTCGTGCTCTTAGTCCATGACTGTGCTGATATATTCTTGGATGCAGCGAAGGCGGCAAAATACGCCAATTATCAACGATTGTGCGATAGTATCTTTGCTGGTTTCACTGTGTTATGGATCGTTTCAAGACTCGTTGTTTATCCGTTCTACATTATTTGGAGGTGAGTGTTGCTTTTTATCATTTTAAAAGTTTTTGCATACATTAAAGTTAATTAATATTGTCATTGTGTCTTACGAAAGTGTTTTTAGATTAATGAAATAATTTAAATGTTATACGATATTATACTTGTTCTAATCAAGAAACCGTTAATATTCATTAAGACGATATTAACAGTTAGTCTTTTATCATTATGACGAATTGCCTTTAAAATAGCTTATCTTTGGAAAAAAACTAGTATTATCTCATTTTGTGTATTTGTAATACCATATAATAGTATTATACAATATAACGCATTTTAAAATTTTATACTTACGCCATTCAATAACCGTGAGAAACTTACCGAGATCCGGAGCCGCGGAGAACGTAACAGGTTGCCAGGGCTCCGGTTCGAAGTGCAGGAGTAGAAACTGGGTCGTTTTAGTCAGTAAGAGTCTGACACTCTCTCTCGCCTCACCCGACGGGAGAAGTTATTCGACGATTTTTCCCCCCTTAAACTGTCAAACACCAAGCGGTCACCGGTGACCGCAACCTATTGTTCTTTAATTGTGTCTATAAATACGGTACTCGACGAGTTAAGAAAAATTAAAAAATTTGTAGACCCACGTTGGGCGCAATAAAGACTGACTTCAAATTGACTACAATTTTGTTCATTACATAGTTATTTTAGTTTCAGTTGAAAGTAGTTCAATGTTGAGGGGTCTGGTGATTTAATATTAAACAAATGAAACAATTTAAAGTTGACCTGTATTACTTATTGTTATTTCCAGTACATCAATCCGCGCACCCATGTTGCTCCCGATGTTCCCCGCCTACTACATCTTCAACTCGCTGCTGTGTCTACTATTAGGTCTACATATGGTCTGGACCTGGCTCATATTGCAGGTCGCCTATAAGGCTATTAGTGCTGGCCAGGTAAATTATAGTAGTTTTTCTAAAATATCTTATATCTTTTGCCTTTCCTCGTTAGAATATAGATTTTTAACTACATAATCCAATACTTTCCCTTAAATATATTTTTGAAAGAGTAACTATATGTATCTACAGTAGTTTAGATATAAAACCGTAGCAAAAATCTCATTATTGTCGTATGTATTATTATATTTCAGCGTTCATGTAAGTACCTCTTACATTTTAAGAGATTGTTATTATTAAACCCATCATATTCTGTGATACGAAGGTAATTCTTTTGTCAAACACCAGATACGATTTCAAAGTTTGCAAACGTTGATTATTTGATTATATGTACCTACTTTTTCCAGCATCAGCCATTACGACTAACTAACAATAAAATTATTGGTTCAATTTCCAGATGGAAGGTGATATCAGGAGTTCAAGTTCAGAAATAAGCGATAGTTCACATCAATCGAACCACAGCACGCCGAATCGTGTCAATAATAAAAAGTAAGTTGACAAACTTTTTACCGTACTACAATTGCAGTATTTGTTTTGTCGATCATCAAATTATACTTAGTAATGGCACAGAAGCCAAAAAGCACTGATCAGTGTTATTTCAACTTTATTGTAAAGCAGTAGAGTTGATAAATGAATTTGCTTTATTTACTGGTGTATAACCAAAAAACGACATTAGGGCGGAGAATGCAGAAATATGTTATGCGTCATCGTTGTCATTGAAGAAATCTATTAAATCTCCATACCACGGAGTAATAAACAAATGGAATGCTAACTCGCACATTTTTCCCCAGAGTCAGACTCGTGAGATATACGCGAACCGCAGGAGGGACTCTCATTCGACGACCACCAACGTCTTAGGGAAAGGTCTCGAAACCCGGTGCTAACCGGCAAGTGAAATAAAAAACGTTAGTGAGGTTCCCAGGACAAAAGTTACTGCCCTCTACCTGCATGACGCTTTTATAACGGCTATGACCCCGTGTGGATATTCTCATTGGTCGCATTATAATCGGCTAATAACCTCAATTTGATTTTTATTATAATTCTTATCATCGGTGAAGGCTTTGCTCTACAAACTTGCTTGCAGCAGGTTTCTAAAGATACAGGTGTTGAATTTAAAGTTTTTCTTTCATCATTTTAATAATTTTGATCCCATTCTTTTCATATATCATTCCAGTAAAATGCAAGGTTGGTGTGAGCTTTGCGTTTGAATTTTGAACCCTATTTTTTATTAATTATAACAGACTTTAGCATGAGTTTTCTATGAAGGTGGCGGTGTGATGCCGATGCTTATTACCAGGGGATATTGACAGACTTGTAGAATATTCATCATTGTCATCACTCCACTAATAAAATATCTACTCTGTGACATAACCTCTAACCTTGGCTAAGTTGAGTATCTTTAATCGTTAATGCAGTAGAAAACGAAATCAGTTCAATAAACAATAGAATTAGTCATTCTTAATGACTAGAAGGAGCAAAAATAATTATGACTAATAATTATTATTTTTGTTTTTTAGTTTTTACCTTTGGCGTGTTTTTAGGTTTTGGTTTTCGAACGTTTTGTTAAACGCAGTTTTTGTTTTTATTTTCTTGCTTTTAGGTTTAGTACAAGGCTATATAGACCCGATATACTATTACTACGTATGTCCCACATTGGTGTAAAGTTCTCATCGTAACAAATTATTCAAGCTCAAACACCAGTTAAACGATGAATAGCAGCTATTAATCGTTAGGAGTTCTCTTAGCCATTATACAACTTCATCATCAGACTCCTAATGACAATCACACCCCATTAAGTGTAAAGTTCTCATCAAAACGAATTATTAAAGCCCAAACACCAGTAGCTACTGTCAGCCCTTGAAGAGTTCCCTTAGCTGTCATACTCCTTGATCATCAGGCCACAAATGACAATTACACCGCATTTAGGTGTAAAGTTCTAAGCAATACAAATTAATCAAGCCAAACACTAGTTGTAGTAGTTTTAAATATATATATAAAAAAAAATGACAAACGCTCTCGCCGTCCATACAATTTTGAAAAGTTCCCCTCGGTTTTCATGGGAACCCTTTATTAGATCTTGACCTGGTGAAAATGGGACCACCCTGAAAGTATGACTTTCATTAAAAAATAATTATCATAATTCGTCTACAAACGCCGGAGAAATCCGGGTAACATACACACAACAAAAACCAAACAGCCGACGTGATAACCTCCTTTTTGGTCGGTTAAAAACTACTGGTTTTATTTAAGTTGTTTAAGTTTTTATCAGTTGTCAATACATCAATAAACATTTAGTTTTTCCTGTATAATATCATCATAGTTTATGGTATTCATTATTTCTTCTACATATGTAGACAAGAGCTAGAGAATTCATTTTTTTCTTGAGACGGTCAAGACCTATGATAATTTTTTATGCGTTCTATACAGGAAAATCTCCTTTCCCGAGAACAATTTGTAGCCGGAGTGGAAAGAGCAATGTGTAGAGCTATATTCAAGTTGTGATAAACATTGGACAGAGATTGATTTCTCAAAATAGATGAGAGTCGCATTGCTCTCACCTGTCACTCACTAGGTTTCGATAGGAATGAGTTTCTATAGGGATTTATATAAAGTATAAAAAAACATGATAAATCCAGTGAACGTGTTTTACTTTCATAGTCTGAAATCGAGTGACCGTCCTCTAAAATCTGCCGCCCGCCCCTAGGCCGCGGCCTATACGGCCTATTTATAAATCCAGCACTGAATGGAACTATCAATTTCAAAATACTAACATTAATATTACCTCTTTGCAGAGAGACATAGGGTCAGGCCGACCGTCCAGGCGTTCTGCTCAGCGTCCGTGGCGCCACCTGGCGGCCACAAACATGACTACATCACTCCACGTTACGAGGTTGTAACTAGTATATCATTAATATTACAGGGGGCCACATTTATATTCTGTATTTATAATTAATGGTGCCTTTTCTATTTAATTTTACGTCATCATCAGTCCGGAGACGTCCACTAAAGAGCAAAAGAAATATTAGAAGATGCTACTGTCCATAGCAATCTTGAATTAAATTTTATATTATGCACAAATGTTTATTTATATTTTTTTTTCTGTTTATTACGTAAAGTATGGTAGACCTGCTTTATTAAAGCCGGGATGATTCAGAATAATTTTTACTTATTTAATAGTCGTTGTTGACTGCACAAAGCCAAAACTTACAGAATTCAAACGTAAACTTACTTAAAATATTTCTCAGTAATGTGGCCCCAAAACGTTCGTCCTATTATGTTGTTCATTCATTCACGAATGAACGAAACGAGCTATATGTAAGTCCGTATTTATAATGAACACGTGAGATTTATAAGTATTGATAAACGTAAATATTTTCTAGCTAAGGAAGCTATCATAATTATCGATAACGACTCTATATCGATACTTTTTATTTTATTTTTAAGCCCACAATATTCGATATTCCTTTATCGATAAATATGACGGCATCCCTATGCAGAAGAACAAATCGTGTATATTAGGAATCTGGTTTTAATTTATATATTTTATTTTTTTCGTCATGATGGTACATAAAATTTAAGTACATAATCAACTTAAGATTCCTAATAAACGCATATAATTTATTGCTTACGCTATTTACAGAATGATTATCAGAAAATAGTAATTATAATTATTATTAAATAAGCAATACCAAACATTTAAAATGCTTTAATAGTCGAACAAATTACAAAAGTGACATTAAAATTTTGACTCCATGTTGTGAATTGAAAAAGTAAGTTTATATATAAAAACATATATGTGAATTGTTCTTGCGTAATTAAGTTACCAAGGTAGCAATACAAAGATGATTGATTTAAAATATAATATAAAAAAAACATACTAAAAATGCGACCCACAACGGTGCTGAGAACGTTAAGCATAGATTAAAAATGTAAGCATTTATTTTGTATTAGCTTAAGCGCTTTATACGTACTTATTCGTGGTAAGTGAAAAAGTATACTTCGCGATACGATAATCATTTTTTAATTATCTTGGGTGATATTCAGTATCAGATATTTATTTTTAAATATGCTGTCTTGCAAAACTAAATTACAATGTCCCTATGTTATCTATGGATATGGATGACAGTTTAAATTAAAAAATGCCGGTATAAACCCTAGAATTTCGTGTGAACGGTCTAAATGTATGAGAAATTGATTTTCTTGTTGTATTATTATTTTAAGCTAATATTATTCCTTATTATCGTGTTCCTTTTAACCATTGCATTGAAAAACACACCTTAATATCAATGTAATTAGGTGTTATATTCTTTGTTGCCATTCTGAAAGTCACAATCCTTCTAATTAGTATCTTAAATCAATTGGTACTATTAGGTACTTCGTGTAACTGCGCTTCGCAAGCAAAAAGGTGATTAAAAATAAATAATTCTTAAGCTAGTATAAACTTACACGTATTAATAATAAGGTACATTATTTATTGGGGGACCATGCAGTTGGATCATATTGATTTATCGATATTTTGTATACTTTGCGTAAATTATCATTATCAATATTAGTCTAATGACCCGTAGGGTAGGTGAAATTACTTCCTAACTTTCTTAATTTTTCCAAAAAAAAAAGATTTGCAAAATATTAATATATAAAATCAGATACTAGTCTGATGCTATTTATTGAAATAAATCATACATTATTGTTGTTAATGACGTTCCCCTATTAAAATTCTAATAGTAAAATTGCAATTGTGTATTACATGGGTTGTATACATAGGACTCCTTTAGTACTTATGTGCAGTGTGCTTCAATGCAATTTCATAGTTGAAGCTCTCACATAAATACTTACAATCAAACCAACTTACAAGTAATAAATTATCTATACAAGGTGTAGTTTTGAAACCGTGTCATTTCTCGGGGGCATGTTACAGAAGTCATAAAGGTTCAATGTAAGAGAAAGTTTCGGGCCAATAGTTAAAAATACGGCTATAATAAATCGTTAAAGTTAGACAGTATTTCAGAATAAGCGACAGCAATGTTTCTTATTGGTGTTTTATAGAATTAGGAATAATATCAGTTACGTGTTTGAGT